TAAACGTACTTCCGACTGCGGGTTCAGTGGCTTGAAGTATCTGGGGCTGACAATATGAATTTCGCATTTAGTACAGAAAGCAAAGCGTACCGACGAATAATGCCCTAAATATACCAATTTTCCAAACGTTCAACAACTATCCCCGACGAGTGCAGACGCACCCACAAAAAGTGCCCTATACAGCGCTAGTTGAGGGCAGATAACATGGTAATTTCTACTCTCTAAAAGAGTCCGACCTTCAAACTGGTTTTGAAGGTGACTGCTTTTGAAGAATTTAAATAATAGGACAGTTCAGCCTGCCGTTATTGACAACCGAGCGCATTCTTGTTTTTTACATCAAAGTTTAAAACGCATCTGATCAGAATCTTCCTCTGTTTTGATTCAATATGCATCAGCCGGGAGAGAAGTCGAGGGATGAAATTCAGGCAGAGGTAGAGTTCTTGAAGAAGCAACACCGCGATGAGATCGCCGAACTCACTTCAAGGAACAAAGAAGAGTTGTTACAGACCCAAAGGAATGCCGAGGAAAAATACCAAAGCCTTCGCTCGACGTTGGATTTGCTAGAGGCTAAAGTTGCTCAGGCTATGATTACCTCAGCCAGTCTTCATAGTGTCTCTGCTGAAAAGGTAAATACAATTTCCAGCTATGAATTTTTCGATACTTTTTGAATATTTATCTCCGGGAATCTGGTACAAAAATAAGTACCGACAAAGACAAGCGAGGCTAGGGAGGACGATTATGGCTTGCTAGTCAGCATCAGTCAGTCACTTTCAAAGTAGGTTTGGATGACATGGGATCTGGATCCGGATCCTTGGACAACATTCCAGCGTTGAATCATGGGTCTGTTGTGCCAGCGGTTTCGATCAAAATTACTAACCGTCGTGGGAGGAAGCGTTCACCGATCAGGTCGGTATTCCTCCCTGTATCATTACTACTCACTATGCGACTGCATCTGAATACTCTAGATCGAGCCCCGAGGTACAATGCACGATTGCGTCCGGTAACCTGATTGGTTAACGCAGTTTCCTACAATCTAGTCATATACCATATGGGTGTAATCCGTCTCTTTTAATACTGAAATTAACCAGTCTATACATGGGGAAATATACACATGTCACCGATCTAAAAGCAGAATGAAGAAATTCAGAAAATTGCAAAACATTTATTTTTCTTGCAGTGGAAGGCTTTATGCAGCCTGAAAGATGGGGTTTCTAACCGTTTACCAAGATATTTATTGGTTTTTTTGTAAATCCTCGTGCCTAAGAATACAGAAGAGTTTAGCCTGTGAAGCACACGTTTGAACCAGCCTTCCGTGCCTTGCCGGATGGCGCTATACTCAGCGTTTCGCCCCATCTAGCCGTGGCGGTTATTTTGAAAAAAAAACAGAAATCTAAAGGAAGTCTAAGCTGGTGGTACCTTAAGATGCCCACTTATCATACGAATACCTTTTGCGCATGCACTGGACTCACTGCTCTTTCAGCTGTAAGGGTTTCTTTACAGGCACCAAAAACCACAAACA